CCTAGAGCCACCCTGGGGCTCCCAAATGGGCGCTATAGGGGCCCCGGGGCTCCCAAACGGATCCTAGAGGGGCCCCAGGGCTCCCAAATGAACCCTATAGCCACCCCAGTGCTCCCAAACGGGCCCTATAGCCACCCCGGGGCTCCCAAATGGGCCCTATAGGGGACCTGGGGCTCCCAAACGGGCCCTACAGCCACCCCGAGGCTCCCAAATGGACCCTATAGGGGCCCTGGGGCACCCCAATGGACTCTATAGGGGCTTTGGGACAGCCCAACAGGCCCTATAGCCACCCCAGGGCTCCTAAATGGGCCCTATAAGGGCCCCAGGACATCTGCGATGGGCCCTATAGCCACCCCGGGGCTCCCAAGCAGGCCCTATAGGGGCTTCAGCGCTCCCAAACAGGCCCTAGAGGGGTCCAGGGTGCCCGCAATGGGCCCTATAGCTCCCCCAGGGCTCCCAAATGGCACCTATAGAGACACCAGGAGTTCTGCAATGGGCCCTATAGGGACTCTAGGGCACCCCAACCGGCCCTATAGCTACCCCAGGACTCCTGAACAGGCCCTATAGGGGCCCCAGGGCTCCCAAATGGCACCTATAAGGACACCAGAAGTTCTGCAATGGGGCCTATAGGGACTCTAGGGCACCCTAACAGGCCCTATAACCATCCCAGGACTCCTGAACGGGCCCTATAGGGGCCTCAGGGCACCCCAATGGTCCCTATAGGGGCCCCAGGGCTCCCAAATGGCACCTATAGGGACCCCAGGAGTCCCACAATGGGCCCTATAGGGGCCCCAGGACTCCTGAACGGGTCCTATAGGGGCTCTGGGACTCTCAAACGGGCCCTATGGGGCCCCGGGGCATCTGCAATAGGCCCTATAGGAGCCACGGAGCACCCGAACAGACCCTATAGGGGCCCCAGAGCTCCCAAATGGACCCTGTAGCACCTATAGCAACACCGGGGACACTGTATGGTCCCTATAGGTGCCTAGGGGACACTAGATGGCACCTATGGGGACTGGGGGACTCTATATAGCCCCCATAAGTGCCCAATGACACTATGTGGTCCTTATAGGGACACAGGGGACACCATATGGCTCCTATAGGTGCCAGGGGACACTATACGGCTCCTGTAAGTGTACAGGGGATGCTACACAGCCCCTATAGGGCCTGGGGGACGCTATACAGCCCCCATAGGTGCCCAGCGGCCACTAAGCCCAGGGGACACTAAATGACACCTATGGGGACACAGGCAACACCATATGGCTCCTATAAGGACACAGCAGACCCTACATGGTCTCTATGGGCACACAAGGGACGCTATACAGTCCTTATAGGGACACAAGGCACTCTATATGGTCCCTACAGGGACACAGGGGACTCTATATGGCCCCTATAGGTGCCCATGGGACACTAGATGGCACCTACAGAGAAACAGGGGACGCTATACGGTCCCTATAGGGACACAGGGGATGCTCTACAGCCCCCATAGGTGCCAAGGGATGCTATATGGCCCTTATAGGTGCCCAGCAAACACTGTATGATCTCTACAGAGACACAGGGGACTCTATATGGTCCCTATAAGGACATGGGTGATGCTACACGGCCCCTATACGGACACATGAAACGCTATCCGGCCCTTACAGGGACCCAGGGGACTCTATACGGCTCCTATAGGTACCCAGCGGACACTGTATGGTCCCTATAGAGACACATGGGACGCTCTCCGGCCCTTATAGGGACATAGCGGACTCTATTCCGCCTCTATGGGGACACATGAGACTCTACACGCTCCCTATAGTGACACGGGGGACGCTATATGGCCCCTATAGGGGCACAGGGGATTCTATATGGTCTCTACAGGTGCCCGGGGGACACTGTATGGCCCCTACAGGGACACAGGGGACTCTATACGGCCGCCATAGGCACCTAGGGGACACTGTATGGTCTCTATAGGGACACGGGGAACTCTATATGGTCCCTATAGGTGCCCGGGGGAGACTGTGTGGCCCCTATAGGGATACAGGGGATGCTATACAGCCCTTATAGGGACACGGGGGACACTGTAGGGTCCTCATAGGAACACACTGTACTCTATATGGTCCTTATAGATTCCCAGGGGACACTGTATGGTCTCTATAGGGACACAGAGAATGCTATATGGCCCCCATAGGCACCTGGGGGACATTGTATGGTCTTTATAGGGACACAGGGAACGGTATAGATCCCTTACAGGGACACGGGGGACACTATGGTCTCTATAGGGACACAAGGGACGCTATATGGCCTCCATAGGCGCCCGGGGGATACTGTATGGTTCTTACAGGGAGACAGGGCACTCTATACAGTCCCCATAGGTTCACAGGGGACACTATATGGTCTCTATGAGGACACAAGGGACGCTATACATCCTTTACAGGGACATGGGGGACAATGTATGGTCTCTATAGTGATGCACAGGACGCTATATGGCCCCCATAGGCACCCGGGGGACACTGTATGGTCCTTATAGGGACGCAGGGGATGCTATATGGCCGCCATAGGCACCCAAAGAACACTGTATGGTCTCTATAGGGACACAGGGCACTCTATACGGTCCCTACAGCTTCCTGGGGGACCCTGTATGGTCTCTATAGGGACACGGGGAACTCTCTACAGCCCTTATAGGGACCCAGCGAACACTGTATGGTCCTTATAGGGACACAGAGCGCTCTATACAGTCCCTATAGGTTCATGGGAGACACTGTATGGTCTCTATAGGGACACAGACAACTCTCCACAGTACTTATAAGGACCCAGGGGACACTGTATGGTCTCTATAAGGACACAGGGCACTGTATACAGTCTTTATATGTTGCCCGGGACACTGTGTGGCCCCTATAGTGACACAGCGGACGCTATACATTCCTTACAAGCACACAAGTGACACTGTATGTCTCTATAGGGACACAAGGGAAGCTATATGGTCCCTATAGGTTCCCAGGGCACACTGTATGGTCTCTATAGGGACACAGGGCACTCTATACAGTCTCTATAGCTTCCCTGGGACACTGTGTGGCCCCTATAGGCACACAGGGGACGCTATACATTCCTTACAAGAACACGGTGGACACTGTGTGGTGTCTATAGGGACACAAGGGACTCTATACAGCCCTTACAGGGACACAAGGGACACTGTATGGTCCTTATAGGGACACAGGCAATGCTATACGGTCTCTATAGGTTCCCGGGGGACACTGTGTGGCCCCTATAGGGACACAGGGGACCCTATACATCCCTTACAAGGACACGGGGGACACTACATGGTCTCTATAAGTTCCCAGGGGACACTGTGTGGCTCCTATAGGGACACAGGAGACGCTATACACCCCTAACACGGACACGGGGAACACTGTATGGTCTCTATAGGGGCATGAGAGACGCTATATGGTGGTCTCTATAGGTTCCCGGGGGACACTGTGTGGCCCCTATAGGGACACAGGGGACGCTATACATCCCTTACAAGGACACAGAGGACACTGTATGGTCCCTATAGGGACACAGAGCACTCTATACGGTCTCTATAGGTTTCCAGGGAACACTGTATGGTCTCTATAGGGACACAAGGCACCCTATACAGTCTCTATAGGTTCCCCGGGACACTGCGTGGCCCCTATAGGGACACAGGAGACGCTATACATTCCTTACAAGGACACGGGGGACACTGTATGGTCTCTATAGGGACGCAGGGGACGCTATACGGTCTCTATAGGTTCCCGGGGGACACTGTGTGGCCCCTATAGGGACACAGGGGACGCTATACATCCCTTACAAGGACACGGGCGACACTGTATGGTCCCTATAGGGACACAGAGCACTCTATACGGTCTCTATAGGTTTCCAGGG